TGTTGGCCTTGGAGAATATTGAAGTGGTGTAACCATATTCAGGAAGTGGAGGTCTGAACTCATCTTGCCATGGGTGAATGATTAGGTTCTCCTTAATTACATGCCATGAATCATCCCCGGATTGCATGACGGTGGATCGAACGGGATAATCTTTGGTGTCATGTGTCGGACGCGGATCGCAAAACTCACCAGCGAACAAGTCTAACTTGACCTGACACCCCCCGTACACGAACCATCCAAGCTTCTCTGATCCGTCTGGATTCTTGGCTCTGAGGAAAGCTAACCATGCAGCGTTCCAAACCGCTCTTCCGCCGATCGCGTCAGCGTTTGGCTTTGTGTCCCTCTCGAGCTTCTCAACTGGAAACGATTCAGGTTGGTTCATTTTGGCACCCTGATCTTCGAGAGGCGGCAGTTCGGGTTGGTCAACAAGTTCAACTCTCCCTTCACTCCTGATTATCTTGGCCTTCTGCGTGGGAAATTCAATCGACTTGGGTGCACTGATCTGGCTGACTCTGAGAATTGGAACTTTCTCATCATGATTTGCCTTGAGAACGTTCGGCAATGACATGACCGAATACTCATCCCTAAATAGACAGCCTGGGTGCATGGTACCTTCAACAATGGATCGAATGGTGCGTTCGGCAACGGCATTGCTCTGGGATATGCATAATCCTTCGATGTGACATGACGCCACTGCAACGTGCGCGCAGCACTGATTAGCTCTGGGGCATTGTCGGAGTAAAAGATCTTGACTACAGCTTCATCAAGGACAAAGTGTTTGAAGGAGTTGATCGTAGACTCCGCATCTTTACGCGCAGATGGGTAAACATAAGTGACCCTGAAAATACATCTTTCAGCGCAAGACCGATACCTTCATCCTCACCCCCTGCTTCTTCACCTTTGGCGGTGATGAGGAAATCCCCTGTAACGTGATCACCAAAAGACTCAGCCTTGATCTGTCGGGATCCGCCCCTAGCTCTTGAGGGGTATTTGATCATCTTTGCCTTACGACACACATCACAAAACTCATTCTTGGGTATGTGAGTCATCAAGTGGGCAATAGATTGAGCTTCCCTCTTAAGCAAGGCTTCCCCCCGCCCACGCTCTGCCACCAAGGGTGCTGGCACCTGATCGTCCAGGGCATCATCACTAGGGTTAGAATCATCCGTTGGCGGCTCGACCTTCCGGTCAGCGACGCTGGGCGGCTCAGCCTTCCGGCTCGCTTCTTCTTCTCTTCTCCTACTTCCATCATCATCACCCCCCGCATCATCTGAGCCCGTTGCGACTTCAGCAGGTAGGGCCAGCGGAGTGGTAGGAGTGAAGGATGTAGAAGATGAACTGTTTGATGAAGAAGAAGCTTCCGCACGAATCCCAGCATCGACGATTGGGCGCGAACGTGACTTGCACGGCATGGCCTTCTTGATCTTGGAGGGGACATATGGTACATAATCTCGTACTGTCAACTTAATTCGAACACCATCGGGCTTTTGGAAGTATGGTTCTTTGCCGGCTTTCCATATGAAGTCGTAAGCTTCGTCCATGCATTTCATACCGACGGACATCACAGGTGGGGTGGACTCGAGCAAGTACGGTGTGAAATTACAACCGAGCGTTTCGTTTCTCACCTTTCCCTGCAGGTACGACGAACTTTCTGCATTTGCAGTGATAATGGAGATTGGCTGATCAGAGAAAAACTGATACCTGTCCGGAATGTCATATTTGGTTGCTAGGTCCTGAGCGCTCCGGTGTCTGCAATCCAGTCTTCACCTGATAGAAGGTAGTGCTCAACATGCTGCTCGGAAGCGGCTGGTGTCGCAAACAATGTCTTGGGTATGCAATGGTCGCACCCAATAGTGGACTTGCACATGTAACGACACTTAGCTTTTCACCCTTGCAACTCATTATGCACTGCTCCGGCAAGCATCTTGGCCGACAAAATCGAATCTTCAATGACCGATGGGTTTGGACTCATAGCGAATTCGATGGGATAAAACTTCGACAGACTCTTCCTTTCCACTTCATACGGATAGAGGTCACCGGACGTGTGATACTCGGTGATGTTCGGCTTAGGCTCGAACTTCACTTTGATCTTGGCTGGACAGGCAATGCGCGGCCAACCGTTCCCGGTGGCAAGTCCTTCAACAGACGACGCAAGCATGGATGCAACAAGACAAACTGCGGCAGGCGTGACTCTGGGTGATGATCGATTCGACCCCCCGGAACCCTTTTGGATCCCTTTGACTTTCAAGAACCCTCGGATCCGGATCGACGTCCGCTCTTGTCCCGCTTGCCCCTCTTGTCCTTCCTCCGCTTGTCCTTCTTGTCGCTTCCGCGAGAACTGCGAAACCCTGATCTGGCAGGAGTGGCCTTGCGGGGCTTCTGCTTGCCTGCATGGGAAAACTCACATTCATTTCCCCTCTTGCAGCGTCCAGCTTTCCAATACTTACATGTGATCTTGGAGTTGTCTTTACCCTCTCGACTGGTGGAACGACCTCTACTTGGTTTTCGAGATTTCTTCGGAGGAGTCTCATGTTTGTATGTGCAGTTTTCTTTGGTGCAACTGCCCTTGTTCCATGCGACACAGTACCCCTTTGGGATGAACGGAGTTTTCTTCCGACCGTCGTCGACTGCAGGAGTGGACGGCTTCGGACCTCCAAGGCTGCTGTGGATCCGACCACGGTTCGACTCAAGCCTTTCCCTCCGGAGGTACCTTTGTACAGCATCAACAAGGAACTTGTAGGAATGATTCTCAGTTCCCTCTTCAGCACGATTGTAGATTTCGATGTCATGTTGGATGGCACGTACATTTTTGATTTGTTCATAGAACAGGGTTTCCAAGACTGATGGATCCGGTGGATGTGTGATTCCGGCATTCACGGTATCCCAGTTCGAAATGTATGTTCTCAGGTTTTCACCCTTGAGCTTCACAGCAAACAAATCTTTCAATGAGTACGTGGCTCCATGTTTGATGTTCGTGCTAAAGAAATCATCCATCATCAACAATACTTGTCTTCCTCTGACAGGGCGGTCGGCAGCTGATTCTTTTTCTTTGAAAGCGTTCACCTTTCTAGCGAACTCACCAGAGCAGATTTTCGACAGTGCTGACAAAAGCTTCGCGTCAAGAGTGGTGAAGCCCTCTGGATCTACCAAATCTGCAGTGACCGTTCCTTCCTTCCACACCTTATTGATCCACACGAAAGCCTTGTCTGGGGTTTTCGATGCTGCGCGAACGGCATCTCGAACCTTAATCTTCCAGTCCCTATAGCTTTCGGGATATGGAAAGGGCGGAACCTTGATGTGATCTGCATTCTTTGGCATTGTTCTCAGAGTTCTTCTTCCCCCCTTAAGGAGCTGTTTGAGGGCTTTCAACAAATCACGACCCGAAAAGTCATTTTCATCCTCATCTTCATCGGCATCCCCGTCCCCGTCATCGTCGTCCCCAGGATCATCAGGCGGGCCGCCTCCACCAACGTTTACTTTCTTCGGACCCGGCCGAAGGTTCCCCTTGGCTTCACCTCCTTTTGGAGACCCGTTTCCGCCTTCTGGCTGAGGCGGAGGGGGATCACCTCCAGGTGCTCCATTCGGAGCCTTCCCGGTCTGATCACTGGTACCCAGTGGGAGCAGTGGAATTTGACCTTCACCTGACCTCGTGGAGTTCAACGGAAAACCAGAAAGGGACTCCTCAGTAGGTTCATGCTTTGGAACTGGACTACGCTGTGGTTCCTGCTTGGCGGGCGGCTTGCCTAAGCACAGCTGGATTGGAATCGACGGGGAGTAATCTCGGGTTTGCAATTCATCAATACCCCCTGCAGGAGTCATTGGAAGACCCCTAGGACCCAGAACGGCTGTACCTTCCGGTGCGCGAACGGCGGACCAAGAACTGAACAGGTCATGCTGTTGCCTGGCGTCTCGAAGAGCACTCAGCTGGTTCTGAAGATCAGTTTGTTTCTTCATGGGTTGTCTCAACTCCAAATGAAGACTTTCAGTTTGCCGATTCTGATGCTCAACATGGTTGTTCAATGACTCGATGGTTGCCATGCACTTCTCGATTGCATGATCGCTACGAATGCGTGCATCTAACACCTGACTCTCATGGTGCTGTTTCATGGACCTAAGCTCAGCTGCGGAAGCCTCGGCCTATGCCTCATATCCCCTTTGGGCAGCTTCAACAAAAGCAGTGGCTTCCTGTTTCACAACTGTGTTCTCATGAAGCATTTGTTCAGCTTCGTTCATAAACCTTAAACCCTGTACTCGCATTTCGTCATGCTGAGTACTCACCATTTGGAGTTGTTCACCCTGAATGTCCATGGCACGCCGATGTCTTTCTTCGGCGACAGCCTCAATCAATCTTGCATCAGTAGATGGGGCTTGGTGAACATGCAGGTGCTGGTTCAACACATTTGTATTACTCATGCTGACCGGCACAGCGTTCCCGCTGGCACTTGCTGTAGGAGGGTTGTACTGGGAAATGTCAGGCCCAATAGGCGTGTCCACCCATAACCGTCCGGAACAAGTGCAGTAGAACTTGCAACCTCAGGCGTTCCCTCACGCGCGGACATATTGTCCGGATCCGACGATAAATCAATTATTGCCGGGAAACTATAGCCAGCCATGGTGTGGCGCGCGTGGGACGAATCACGAAGACAAAAGTGAGACCTACGGCTGATAACCTATTTCAGATGGGAAACAGCCTAAAAGCTACACCTTTTTCTTTAGCCAGAGTACACGCGGTAAGGTCAATGTATATGTACACCACCAGTGAAAAATAAATAGCCTCCGAAGCACGCTGGTTTCCAACGCCCGAAGGTGTATTGTTGCTCATTACTGCGTTCAAACCTGTATGGTGCTTATTTTCCCTTCCAGCGAGATAGCCACACAAGATCACACAAGTGAACTCACATTTTGTGGATTGTCAATTTACATGAATTAACCAACACTGAATGATTCTGCTTGACTCGACATTCTATGAATCCAATGTGGTCGAGCCAGTCGCCACTGTCCTCCAAATCTCTTTCCACTTGCTCAACCCGGCCACCACCATTTTCCATGTTGTACCGCATGATCAAATCTCGCAGCATCCTCACGGGCACTGAATCCCAAGAATACACACAGTGGCCTGAAGTAAGCTTTTGAACAAATTGTATCCAAGGAAAAGCCCCACAAAAACCCTCAGTTGGCAAATGTAGCAAGCTGTGTGTAGCGTCTTTGTATCTTTCAGGTCCGTCCAATTTCCACCGCATATCAATCACATCCTTGCCAATTCCACTTCGCGGTTGCTTCGACGAGACACAGCCTTGGCGTTCGTGCAGTTGGACAAAGAAGAATCTTGGGTTCAGCAATGCGTAAACCACCAAAGCAATGGTAACTTCTGTTCGGTCTTTCGCACAAGCTTTCTTGTCGCCACAATTCAACCCCTGCCTCAAATGTCCGTCGGAATTCGTTCAAGAATTCGAAGACCTAAAAACGTAAAGCAGCAACAGATACAGTGCCACTTCTACGATCACCGCCGTTTGAATTTGAATCTCCACTTTAAGTATGACTTAGATTGTCAAAGCCAAGATGACTCTTTCTGATGTGCTTGTCAGAGCTCGGAGACTTCTTAAGAAAGCCTCAGCTCCAAGGCCCTTGCCAGCTCTGTGGCCGTCGGTGCTGCTATGCATAGAAAAATGAGATCCTGAGTCCAAGTGAAATGACATGATACGAAGGGACTCACTTGTCATCTTCTCGCATTGATCCAACATGATCCAACCTGCTCTGTCCTTATCCAACAAGTAGTTGAAGGTATGACCTCCGTACACATAAGACCTCGGTAAATGGCGCTGATCTGCCCACTTTGCGTTTGTGGATTCCGCTCGTTGAGGTCCTTAACCTGATCGCTCCGGTGCGTGGGATTTTGGGAAGTACCTCGCGAGCGGCTCACGTACAGGTGGAAGGATGTGGTTCATGGCACGCGGCTATTGTCTGAGCATGTTTTAGGGATATATTGAGTGGAATTCCAAGCACAACAGCACCATGATTTGCGAACTGCGGTTTGCCAAGGTGGTTGTGAGCACGTTGCACAGTTTGCCTAGCCGGAACTTGCAGGATTGTGGTTTTGTCTCTCGTTCAGAAACAGTAAATACAACCTTCGGGTCTTTATTGATGCTTTTTTCGGGGGTTGATGGATTAATTCGCATGGAAACCGCACTGCTATCCATGTTTTAATCATACAGCCATCCAAACTTGGACGTACAGCTGGACAGTGTCGTTTGTCAAATCCAATTTGCACCTATGGCTGACTGATCGAGATGACAGCATGCGCATTTTACAGTGAACATCACAACAAATATCATTGTGTAATTTGTAATCTGGTCAATATTTTGCCTCGCCCGTTTCTGGTTGTCTTCTTTTTTTGTTCGCTCCAGGGTTACAAGTTGTTGCACAAACACAGTGCCCAACACAACCAGTTGGCAGCCCAAAACATCGACCTGATAGTTCTTTTCTTTTTCTCAAAAGCATCTCCGATGCTTGGGTTCTCGTTTAGTTGCTGGTGCCGGGGGAGAGCGAGGAAAAGCTTACTTACGTTGTTGGGGACGGAAGATGGAGGTGGAGGTGGACGGGGTTGGGAAGGGAAGAGGGAAGGGAAGGAAGAGGGGAGGGGAGCGAGACGGGAGGGGCATGGGTGGGGACGAGAAGATGGAGGGGAGCGAGACGAAAGGCGCATGGATGGGGAGGGAAGATGGAGGGGAGCGAGACGGGAGGCGCATGGGTGAGGGGAGCGAGACGGGAGGCGCATGGGTGGAAACGGGGCTGGGGAGGGAAGACGGGGCGGAGCGACGGGGCTGGGGAGGGAAGATGGAGGGGAGGGGGCCAGGGAGCGAGACAAGGGGCGCATGGGTGGGCTGGGGAGGGAAGATGGAGGGGAGTGAGACGGGAGGCACACGGGTGGGAGCACGGGTGGGGACGGGGTTGGGGAGGGAATAGATGGGAGCGAGACGGGAGGGGCATGGGTGGGGACGGGGCTGGGGAGGGAAGAAGGCGCGTGGGTGTTGAGGGACGGAGCTGGGGAGGGGAAGATGGAGGGGAGCGAGGCGGAGGCGCGTCGGTGGGGACGGGGTGGAGCGAGACGGGAGGCGCGTTGGTAGGGACGGGGTTGGGCGCAGGCGCATGGGCGGGTTTGGGGCTGGGGAGGGAAGATGGAGGGGAGCGAGACGGGAGGCGCATGGGTGGGGCTGTGGCTGGGGAGGGAAGATGGAGGGGAGCGAGACGGGAGGCACGTGGGTGGGAACGGGGCTGGGAAGGGAAGATGGAGGGGAGCGAGACGGGAGGCGCGTGGGTGGGGACGAGACTGGGGAGGGAAGATGGAGGGGAGCGAGACGGGAGTTGGCGAGGGAAAATGGAGGGCAGCGAGACGGGAGCCCGCAAGCATCACAAGCATCATTGCAGGCTGCTCTGGGGCAGTGCAAAAGTAGAACGAACATGGGGAGGCACGTGGGGAGGTGAATGGAGTGGTGTTGCGGGGCTGAGGTATGGTCTTGGGTGTCGAAAATGTGCAGAATGCACGCGGCAGACATGGTTGCGTTGAGCACATGGTCGCACCACAGGCATCAGTGCAGGCTGCTCTGGGGCAGTGCGCAAGTAGAACGAACGTAGTGCTGGTCCTGGGAGGTGAATGGAGCGGTGTTGCGGGGCTTAGGTATGGTCTTGGGCGTCAAAAAAGTGCACAATGCCTGCGACAGGCAATGTTGCGTTGAGCACATGGTCGCATCACAAGCATCATGGAAGGCCGCTCCGGGTCAGTGCGCAAGTAGAACGAAGCATGGGTGGGGGTAGTGCTGGTCCATGCTTCGCGGACGTGTGTTGGGTGGTGAGTGGAGCTGTGCTGCGGGGCTGATACGATGGGGTTGGGTGTCCAAAATGTGCACAGTACATGCGCCAGTCAAGGCATGGCCGACACGGGAGGAGCGTTATGCGCCACAAGCGCAACGTGGGAAATTGTACGGTTGGAACGAACCTTGGAGGGGGCCGATACTGCTCCAGGCTTCCTGGAACGGTTGTCAGAAGCCATGTTGCAATGTTATTGGAGACTAGCTGCAGATTGAAAACAACCAGTTGATATATATTATATATATACACCTAGAATCCGTTTGACCCCTTTTTTGACAGGAAAAGGCCATATTTGGGATAGTTGACCCTCCAAAACAGGGGTCACCCAGGTTCCAGGTATATGATACATCCAAAAGCCAACCCGACGAAAGACGGAACTGCCACGCGCCCAACGCCACGCGTGGCCCAGACTGGGCATCCGTCGGAGACCGTGCGGCGCAGAGTCGGACGGAGCCCTAGAAGTACGCCAGGGGCTGGGAGGGAAGATGGAGGGGAGCGAGACGGAAGATGGAGGTGCGTGGGTGGAGGGGAGCGCGACGGAAGGCGCGTGGCTGGGAGGGAAGATGGAGGGGAGCGAGACGGGGTGCGCATGAAGATGGAGGGGAGCGAGACGGGAGGCGCATGGGTGGGGAGGGAAGAAGGAAGGGAGTGGGAGGCGCACATGGGTGTGGACGGGGCTGGGGAGGGAAGATGGAGGGGAGTGAGACGGCGTGGCTTGGGTGTGGACGGGGCTGGGGAGTGCATGGGTGTGGACGCTTGCGCGGCTGATATGCTAGTTACGAGGACATGGCTGCACCACAAGCATCATTGCAGGCTGCTCCGGGTCAGTGCACAAGTAGAACGAAGC